ACAAGGATGAAATTAATAATATGCTAACAGAATTTGAATCGCTTAAATCGAAAAAGAATCGATTAAATTTGATATCTTAGTGTTTTTAGTTGATATAAATTCATTTTAATCGATTAAAACAACTAAACTTAAATCCTGAGAACATTTTAATCGATTAATTAAATATTTCAATCGATTAAAATGGTACGGACAGATTTTCTGATATCCTTTGTAAGTTATTTTAATCGATTAATACTGTTTTATATCAATTAAAACAATCAGTTTTAGGATAACAAAACTTGATTTGCTGTTGAATACCAAGGGGCTCCCAGATTTTGTTCCTGCAAAACAAATTTAGTATTTTTCTGGTACCCTTTATAGTTACTGGGTCCAATTAGGTTATTTGACATGAATTATTTTTGGGAATCCATTTCATTTTTCCCCTAGGAATAACATACTTTTTAATTCTACAATATTTTACTGATCGACCTCTTTTCATGCAAGTAAAAACATTTAATCACAGTGGTATGATTTCCTATTTGCATTTGTTTTTCTGGATTTCATCCTAGATTTAAATCCTAAACCAGATTTGTCAAAGATTAGTTTTTGTGACCCAAGTAAAACGTCAAGATTAGCTTGACCTTGTGTTAGTTTAGATGCAGCTTTTACCAAGTATGAAAATTGTTTTTGTAACTCGTGACGCTTTTGCAATCTTTAATATTACACATGCAATCAGAATTATTATTTAATTTCAAATTTTCATTCTTAGTTTCTTCATCAACTATTTTCTTTTCAAGAATAGTGATCTTGTTTTCTAATAACCTATTCATGCTTTTCAATTTTTTGTTTTCAGCTTTCTAATTTTTTTGCTACTGCATGTATTTCAAAAAAAGCATCTTGTAATGAACTATAATTCATAGAGTCGAACTTACACTAGTATTTGGTGAATCTGAGTTGACCATTAAGCATATTTTTGTTGTTTCTCCATAGGTCATTTCAAGGATCTTCCACATTTGTGCAGCAGTTTGACAATGTGCTATCCTGAAAAAATCGTTTCTGTTAAGTGCAGATAAGATAATATTTTTGGCAATACAGTCATCTTGGATTAATTTCTTTTCATAGTCATTTAAGCTAGACCAATCTCTGTTAACAATATCAGTTTCTTGTTCAATGATATTCCAAACATTTATACTAACAGATTCAATAAAGATCTTCATCCTGATTTTCCAAAAAGGATAATCCGTTCCACAAAACAGTGGAGGTCTATCAATACAAGCACCCTCAGAAAATTATATATTCTCAAATATAATCGATTATTTGAAAATTTAATCGATTATAATGAAATATGTGGTTAGCTATGTATATAATAGCGGTTCCACTGGAACCGCTCTCAAAAGTTAATATATAATAGCGGTTTCAATGGAACCGCTCTTAAAAGTAACATATAATAGCGGTTCCACGTAGAACCGCTATTATATGTTATATTATAGAAATGAAATTAAGTTATACTTTGGAGAATATATATATATATATATATATATATATATATATATATATATATATAATTTATATAATATATATAATTTATTTAACATTAATTTTATAGTTATAATTATAAATAAGATTTTTTTAATTATATAATTATAATTTTTATAATATATAATTGATAAATAATTTTTTTAATTTTAATTTAATATATATTTTTATTTATAATTTTTTAATATATAAAAGTGAGCATATCATAGCGGTTTCACGTTAACCGCTATCTAAAATATATTTTAGATAGCTGTTAACTCTGAACCTCTATTATATATTTTCAAATATAATCGATTATTTGAAAATTTAATCGATCATAATGAAATATGTGGTGATATGATAGCGGTTCCAATCGAGCGATGTCATCCTCACTGGAGCGACCGGTGCACCGCAGACTAAACGTTCTACGCAGTTAGCCATCTAATATAACTTGGTTCACCACATTTAAGATTCAAATGTCGCTAAAGCGATTACGTAGTCGCTTGAGCGCGACTGAACCCGAGTGTCCCCATTGTTTTCAGCGACCTTATATAGCGGTTAATAAGAACCGCTTTTAAAAATATATATTAGATAGCGGTTAGCCGTAAACCGCTGTCTAAAGTATGTTTATAATAGCGGTTTTTTATAACCGCTCCCTTATAATCCGTTAAAACTTCTTTTAATCCATTAATATGTTCTTGATTCTTTAACAGCTTTGTTTTAACTGATTCGACAACGTTTATATCAATTAAAATACTTTACAAAAAATCTTCTAAGTTGATTTAATCGATTGTTTCGCGATTCAATCGATTGAAATACTGCAAAACTTTATTGTGAATTTCTTCAAGTTATTTTAACTGATAAAAATAAGTTTTAATTGAAACGTGTTTTAATCGATTGAAACAATTCTGATCGGTCATAACTCAATTCTGATCGATCATAACTGTTTCTGATCGGTCATAATTGCATTCTGATCGATCATCCTGAACCCTTAAGTGGTTTTAATCGATTGAAACATGTTTTAATCGATTGAAAAAGTTCTGATCGGTCATAATTCAATTCTGATCGATCACATCTGATTCTGATCGGTCATATTTGTATTCTGATCGATCATAATGGGTTCTAAGTGGATTTAATCGATTAAAATCAAGTTGTATCGATTAAAATACTAAAAAAACACTTGTTTTAACATTTTGACTAATTTTAATCGGTTATTTCAAAACTGTATCAGTTAAAAACTTGTTTAAAAAAGCTTTTGTCAAAATACTTTGTTCTTAACTGTTTAAAACATTTTTAGAGGCATTTTGCAAAAGAACCAATTATTCAGCAAAAAATTCATGAAAATTGTAGACTAACATGAACATAGGCACAAAACGAGAAGAATGCACTTACTTGAACCGTAAAAATGCAGCTTAGGAAAAGGATCTCCGATAGATAATGATAATGGAGGAGATTGATGGCGAGAAGAAGGTAACAATCAATAAATTTCTTCAACGTCAGTGCTTCTATCGCGCAGATGTGAAACAGGTGACTGTCGGCGTCGCTCACTGATTTTGCCTTTAGGTTACACGTAAGGTCCGCTTGAGCGACTTTATTGTCGCTAACATTTAATTATGACAGATAAATTAATATTATAATCTATTAGCATAATATAACCGATCATATACCACTTATAATCGATCATCATAACGTATAATCGATTATAACCTAAAATAATCGATCATTTTATCTGTTTTTAATCTCGCTCAAGCGAAACTAACATCGCTCGAGAGAAGCCACCTGCTAAGATTAGGGATTCTCGGGTTGTGTTTCGCTTGAGCGATACTAATCTCGCTCGAGCGATATCCGATTCAAACATGTGGTCACCCATGTTATATTATGCGGCTAACTTTGATCGACGTTTATCCCCAGGTCAACATTCGCTCAAGCTAAATTCACATCGCTCGAGCGACACCGCCTGCAAAAAATTCGGATTCTCGGGTTGTATTTCGCTTGAGCGACACTAATATCTGATTCACTTTTAAGAGCGGTTAAAGTGGAACCGCTATCATATATTTAAGTTTTAAGAGTGGTTAATATTTTGACCGCTCTTAAAATCGAACATATAATAGCAGTTAGTTATAGAACAACTCTCTTTAGTAGGTTTAGATAGCGGTTCTGGGAACCGCTATGTAAAGTCCCAATTTAAAAAAAAATTATTTAAAATTTGAAATGCAAATTCTTTTTTCTCATAATTTGTACCCGATACACCACAATTTCAGGGTATATTTCAAATAAATATGAAACAAAATCCAGCCAGCATACAATATATATTCACAGAATTATAGAAAACAATTCAAAATTTTACAAATTAAAACTAAAATTTGCATGAAACAAATTTGGTATATATGCGGTGGTGAGTGAGTTCGACTGACAAGTTGGGCAAGTTCACAACCGCGTGAGGAAGGTCGAGGTCGAGGAAGGAATGAGAAAGTTCTGTGCTAGAAAAATGAGAATCGGAGAAGGAGGAGAGATGGGCAAGGGAATGAATTATTTAATAAAAAAACACTCGTACATTTAATATTTTTTTATTCAGGAACACTGTACATTTATAATTTTTTTATTGGGTTGTTGAACGGATGTTTATAATGGGTTGTCAAAATATCAGGACTCATATTTAAATTTCTTAATGATACCAGCACCATGCAGTTGATTGAGCTTAAAGAAGTACAGGAGAAATATTGAAGGAGTCCGAACGTTTGGAAAAAGATATTATTGAAGTACAAGAGTTGAAGGTATCGTAAATCTACTCAGCGATTTTACAGGTAGACAAATCACAAATCTTTATTTTGGAAAACTAGAAGTCTTATTTGAAATAAAGACAAAGAAACGCGACAAAGAACAACGATATACAACAACAACAACAATTCCAATGTGAAAAACTATTTAACACCCTATTTAACCCCTCCTCCTTGACAGGCTTCGTGGCCTCGACATTTGCATGCAAACTGTCAACCTCAAATGTAATGATATCACTTAAGGGCTTCAGAATCATCTCGCATACCACCACGAAGACGCAACCTCAGTGGGGGTAGATTCCTCTTGAATGTTATCCTCGACCGCGGTCCTTCCATCCTCAGCTCGTTTGCCAGCAAAGATCAATATCTGCCGGTCCGGGGAATTCCCTCCTCCTTGTCCCGGGTAATGGTGTCCAAATTCTCCACCTCCAGGGTGATGGTCTTGCCGGTGAGAGTCTTGACGATGATCTTTAAGCAACCACGGGACTGGAGGGTCCTCGAGCCGCTTACCGGCGAAACCGAGACGTTGCTCGGGCCTGAAGAATTTCATCTATGTTGGGATCGTCAATGTAATGCTATCAATGGAAAGTGAGTTAACGAGTCCAGGCACCAAACAATACAAAAAGAATGTTAAGAAATGAAAAAGAAGAAACTAGAATGCTCAAACCAGTTTATGCAATTCTGCAGTGTGTTTCTTCTTCAAAAGAAAGCAAGTTGCCTCAAGAAAGATTTTCAAAGAACTTATCAAAAACTGACACGAATCTTTCTTGAAAGAGTGCTAAAGTTTTCTTGATTGATTGTTCAAAGATGTGTAAAAACTGATATGTAAAAAGTTCAAGCAACTCTATTTTTATAGAAGATTTTCAAAACTGCTGTATTAATTAATCTGTTAAAATATTCTTTTAATCTGTTAAAAGTGCAGTTTTAATCCGTTAAAACTTCTTTTAATCCATTAATATGTTCTTGATTCTTTAACAGATTTGTTTTAACTGATACGACAACGTTTGTATCAATTAAAATAATTTACAAAAAATCTTCTAAGTTGATTTAATCGATTGTTTCGCGATTCAATCGATTGAAATACTGCAAAACTTTATTGTGAATTTCTTCAAGTTATTTTAACTGATAAAAATAAGTATTAATCGATTAAAACGTTGTGTAGAATTTTTCTAAGTTGTTTTAATCGATTGAAACGTGTTTTAATCGATTGAAACAATTCTGATCGATCATAACTGATTATGATCGGTCATAATTGCATTCTGATCGATCATCCTGAACCCTTAAGTGGTTTTAATCGATTGAAACATGTTTTAATCGATTGAAAAAGTTCTGATCGGTCATAATTCAATTCTGATCGATCACATCTGATTCTGATCGGTCATATTTGTATTCTGATCGATCATAATGAGTTCTAAATGGTTTTAATCTATTAAAATCAAGTTGTATCGATTAAAATGTTGTAAAAACACTTCTCTAAACATTGACTGATTTTAATCGGTTATTTCAAAACTGTATCAGTTAAAAACTTGTTTAAGAAAGCTTTTGTCAAAATACTTTGTTCTTAATTGTTTAAAACGTTTTTAGAGGCATTTTGCAAAATCTTTTAAGTGAAGAAACCTCATGCAGCAGAAAAGATAAAATGATTTTACCTAAGCATTCTGTAGACACACTAAACTCTTTTACTCTTTTATCTAAGTGACTTGTTGACCGCTGCAAAGTTGACTTTTGACATCATCTTTGACTTCATCAAATCAATGAGATCTTTGCCAAAGTATTTCAATTAGATCTTCATCACTTTCAGTCTCCCCCTATTTGATGAAGACAAACACCATTTTGAAAACAAAAACTCTGCAAAAGAAGTCACTTGATAATACAGATTAGTGAGAAATCAAACATGTATTGTTTTCCTATTTCTCCCCCTAAAATGTTGCTCCACCTAAATTAAGAGTTATTTCTCTAAATTGACCCAAAAGTAAAGGCAACTATTTCTCCCCCTTTTGACTTCATCAAAAATAGGGAACAGAAGAGAAATAATGAAATGCAAAGGTATTTAACATGCTTAAGTTTTTTAAAATAGAAAGAAATCGATACTTTACTCATGTAAAGACCAATCAAAGTTGATTCAAACTTATCTTCATTAACACGTTTGTAATGAATACAATTAATACGTGTAAAGATAAGGGAACCACACTTTAGTAGCATGTTACAAGAACAACCATTAACTAAAGCCTTTAATTTTTCTTTCCAGAATAAAAATCGATTAAAAACAGGACAAAATCGATTAAAATGTTCTTGTTAATGATTTTAATCGATTGAAATCAGGTTTTAATCGATTAAAACATTTAAGAATTTCGAAAATATGAAACATTAGTGCATTTAATCGATTAATTCGACTTTTAATCGATTAAAACAGTAAAGAAAAATGTTGTATAAATTCTTTTAATCGATTTAAAATATTTTTTATTGATTAAAACACTCAGTTTTGAAAACTAAGAAGGGATTGATGCGAATTTATTATCATTAATGTAGTGGATATTTTATAAAACTGATCATCTAGAAGGGTGTTTAACAACAATATCAACTACATTGATTAACTTTTAACTAATAGATCCATCAAAATCAGAATAAAATCTTATTTCGCTAATTCTACTGATGTAAGCTATTTTTTAAAGATTTTAATCGATTGATACGAAGTTTTAATCGATTATTTTGTTATGAAAAGTGTTCCCTTTAATCACTTTAATCGATTAATTCGATCTTGTATCAGCTAAAACTCTCAGGGATCTAGATTGAATTCTATCTATGCTAGTTTGATTCGAATTAAACCTACATTATATTAATTCAAAGCTAAAGATAATGTGTCTGGTATATAACCAGTAATATTACAGACCCAAAAGAAATAAGCATCAAAAGAAAAATAAGCAATAAAGAAAGATGAGGAGGGACCCTTTTTATCCAAAAAAAAAACTAATCATCCCAGTTCCCTTGATTTAGCTGCATATCTTCCAGCTTTGTGTAGATGTCAGCGATTTGGTTGCCAAGGGATTCAAATTGATGATTTGTTTGCTGGAAGTGTTGGAACGTCATCTGCATATGCTTCCTCTGATTTTCCTGCACTGCAGCCATTTGGGAAAGCATAGTTCTCTCAAACTGAGATAAAGGAGTCCCACGGTCAGGCTGCTCCATGTAAGGAATTATTTCCATGTTTTCATAGGAGGCTTGACCACTTGTTGACTCAAGGACCTCTGCAGCAGCTGGAGAGGAAGGGATCTGGCCCTGATTTTCATCTTCATCTTCTTCCTCACCCTCTGACATCCCAGCATCCATTTTGGAGATCCATTCATCATCAACATTTATATATCCCATTTTCCTTAGGGTGGAGTCATCAATTTCATTAGATGCTTTGGGGGTTTCTATACTCTCCCCAGAAAGATCAACTTCAAAAAATCTAAAGAAATTATTAATTAACATAACATAAGGCAGTTTGAAGTCTGCCAACCTCTTAGCTTTTAACATGTGATCTTTAATCACATACACCCAGTTTACTTTAATGTTATTAAAAATGCAGTACATGAGGGCAAGATCTCCCTCATTAAGAATGGCATGATTACTCCCTCTTGGAGTAAGCATCCATGCTACAATAAACGCAAGAAGTCTGTGTTCTAGTGCAAGTTTTCCAGCATTTAGAATCCTTACCGAATCGTCTGGATCCTTAAGGCAGGAACGGAAAAACTGGATTTTGTTGAACTCTGGAATTTCAGAAATATTCCCCCTTGAAACTTTGACACCTCTGTCCTTAAGACCAGCAACTTGCTCCCAAATAGCAGGAGTAATTTCCATGTTTACTCCCTTCACCTGAGATCGGATTGTAGATCCATTGACAGTTAAGTTGGAGTAGAAAACCCGAACTAAATCAGGTTGAATGTTCCCAGTAAATTCCATGAAAGTTTTTAGCTTCTGGCTTTTTAACTTTCTTCTCAGACTCGTAAATCCTTCTTCGTCCAGCCACCTGAATTTGATGAATTTTGGAATAACAATTCCTTTCTGACTAAACTCAGAGATAAAAGTGTTCATCTTTCCAAGATCTCCATCAAACCAGGCTTCCAGATGGCCACCTGGATTTGCAGCAGAGGAAGATTCTCCTTTCTGCCTCTTTCTTGATTTAGATCTTCTCAACATTTTGTTTGAATTTTCAGAGAATGAGTTCTGAGATGTGTGGACAAGGGAGAGAAGGGAGAAGCACTATGAACCAGATACAAATTTTGAACAAGGAAGAGAATACGAGAGCAAAGAGATACACTGGAGTAAACTGAAGTTTCACGGATGTCACTTTTTGTGAATTGCAGCTTACTTTAGACGAGCCTCGCAAAAATCAGCTTTAATTGCATGTCCCCTTGATCGAGGACAAAAACACAGATTTCGACTAGTGGGTGTATCAGTTAATTTGTTATTGGGAATGTGTTTGACTCGGTCAAAGAAATTTTAAAAGAATTATGCAGATTTTGATTATCATAAAAACCTGAGTTTTTGACTTGAATTCGCTTACCAATCTTCAATTGGATGTTATAAAACTTATTTTCAGAACCTAATTAATGGATTAACCAACTAATTAACCTATTAATTTGATCTTTAATATTAGGTTTGAAACTGCTACAGTGAATTAATCGATTATTTCATAAAAGAATCGATTAATTTTGTACAGAATGAAATTAATAAAATGATAACAGAATTTAAATCGATTAAAACGAAAATGAATCGATTAAATTTTACATCTTAGTATTTTTAGTTGATATAAATTCATTTTAATCGATTAAAACAGCTAAACTCAAATCCTCAGAACATTTTAATCGATTAATTCGACATTTCAATCGATTAAAATGGTACAGAGATTTTCTGACATCCTCTATAAGTTATTTTAGTCGATTAATACTGGTTTATATCAATTAAATCAATCAGTTTAGACAAACAGAACCTGATTCACTGATCTGAACTCCAAGGGATTCCCAGATTTTGTTCCTGCAAAACAAATTTAGCATTTTTCTGGTACCCTTTATGATTACTGGGTCCAAATAGGTTATTTGAAATGAATTAATTTTTGGAATCCACTTCATTCTTCCTTTAGGAATAACATACTTTTTTATTCTGCAATATTTTACTGAGTGACCTTTCTTCATGCAGTAAAAACATTTGATTACAGAGTATGATTTCCTACTTACATTTGTTTTTCTGGATTTCATCCTAGATTTAAATCCTATTCCAGATTTGTCAAAAATCAGTTTTTGAGATCCAAGTAAAACGTCAAGATTGGCTTGACCTTGTGTGAATCTTGAAACGGTTTGTGATAAAAAATCAATTTTCTTTTGTAATTCTGAACAGTTATTACAGGGTTTATTACATGCACAATCAGAATTATCATGAATTAATTTTAAGAAATCACAATTAGTTTCATCTTCAAGAATTCTTTTTTCAAGAGAGTCAACTTTATTTACTAACCAATTATTTAGTCCTTTTAGCCTATCGTTTTCTTTTTGTAGTTTCTTAGCCTCTTCATGCATTTCATTAAATGCTTCTTGCAATGAATCATAATTCACTAAATTTGAAGAGGAACTAGAACTTACATTGCTGGATTGAGGATTTTGACTTGCCATTAGACATAGGTTGGCTTCTTCATTATCAGAATTGTCTGTTGATGAAGTGTCATTGTCATCCCATGCTATATAGGCTCTTCTTTTGAATTTCTGCTCTTTCTTGTCACTATGTTTGTTCTTTTCTGGGCATTCCATCCTGACATGACCCTGCTTACCACGACCATAGCATTTAAAGTTAGAAGAATCAGCTTTTTTCTCATACCTTTTATGTCTTTCCTTGTCTTGAATCTTTTTCTTGAGAAACTTGTTGAATTTTCTCGACTAGCAGTCCAAGATTCTCACTCTCTTCCTCTCGATTCTTAATTTTTTTCTTCAACTTTAAGTGTTATACTTCGCTTTTCTTCTCGAGACTTCTTGTTCATTAAATCTGTTGATTTCCATTTCATGTTCTCTCGAGTTTACCAATCGGAGAAGTCGTTGTCATGGCGATACAAATCTTTTGACTCGATATTGCTCGTGACCTTTGGTCGCCAAGACCTGTCACTATGATATTTTGCCTGGTCTTTAATTAGTATTTTTTTTACTCTACTTTCACTTTATCTTATTTTATTAATTAAAAATATTATATTAAAATTTAGCAAAGTGAATATTTTATTATTTTTAAAAATATTTAAATGACCTATAAATTCTATAATTTAATATATTATATTTAAAAAATATTATATGATAAGTTTAAAATATTATAAGTATTATTATTATTATTAAGAAAAAAATAAATATTTATTTTTAAGTAATTTTTTAATTAATATTTTGTAAAATTATCTAATCTAACTGATTATTATCATTTAACTTAATTATAACTGGATTAAATTATTAAGTAAAAAATACATTTTAAATATTTGATATTTTTTAATTAAAAGAGTAATTATTTATTATGAAAATAATTTTAAATTAATTATTTACTTACTGTCATTATATATAAAATCATTTATTGTCATAATTTTAAATAATTAATTGATATTTATTTAATTTTAATGTTGATTTTAAAATATTTGTTTTAATATATTTTTATTAAATTTTAATATAATATTTTAATTAAAAAGAATAAAAAGGAGATGAGAGAAAAAAATAAACAAGAGAGAACTACAGTCTTTTACAATATTAATTACTCTCCAAAAATATCCCAAATTCCACCCGAGAAACGTTTCACCCATAATTATAATTTTAAAAAAATTTAAATTTTCCCTCTCACTTTAAATTTTTTGTTTTTAACTAGGATATGAATTATAGAAAAAATTATTTTAAAATAAAAGTACTCTTAAACTACCTAATTTTGATTTAAAAATATTATTGTTTTGGTTGAAACAGTGAAGAGTTTGATTTTTGTTTACTTGATTAATTTAAAATTTATAAATGAAGTAAGAAAGATTAACACCTTCAAATAAGTTTACGTATATTAATTAAATTTTATTTTATTTTTAAATATTAAATATATAAAATAAAAAAAGGTGTTATAAATATTAAAAATATATAAATCAACAAAATATGAAGAGTGATTAATAAAATTTATTTAATTTTTTTAAAAATATTATTTTAAAAAATATTAGGTATTACTATTATGTACATATGTGTTTTTACACCTTAGTTATAATATGAATATCCTTATTCCAGAATTGGTTAGTTTTCTTTATCTTGACATAAATAAAATTAATATAACTTATCAATAAATACAAAGAAAATATAAATAACATTTTCTATTGATGACCTTTTCCTACGTGACATCAAGTGATGAATATTCTCTATTCAGATTTATAATGTTATAACTCGCGCATGATATTAATAAAAATAATATATTATATAAGAGAGGAAAAAAAGTGTAAATAAATTTTAAAATGTCGATATATATATATATATATATATATATATATAATTAATTATTTAATTTATTTAAATAGTTTGCCAAAATTTATACACCGTTTTTGAAATTATAATTTTTAATTTATTTATATAAAAAGTTTATTTCTTATTTAAAATATCTTCTCCTTGTCTTTAAGAATATTTGTTTTAGCATTAATGTAGAACAATAGAAAAAAGAAATTTCAGCAATCAAAGAAAAAAAATTGGAAAACATAAGAAATCTATGGAAGTAATGGTACGCCAACATTATTTCTGTAACATTTGGACAAAACAAAAGAAATAGACTCAAGTATAGAGAGAAATTAGATTATTACAGAAGATGACAGTATGCATGGCTAACAAAAAGAACAAAAAAACTCATCAAAATAAAAAGAAAAGGAGAACATCGAATTACTGATAAGACCTCCTCGACCTGGTTCTTAGTCTTGACATTGAGAAGGCTAGCAAAAACAACAAAAAAGCTCATTAAAATAGGAAAAAAAATTATTGATAAGATCTTGGCCTTGAAAAAAAAAATTACTGATGAAACCTCTTTGACCTGGTTCTTGGCCTTGAAAAAAATTACTGATGAGATCTCCTTGACCAGGTTATTGGCCTTAAAAAAATTATTGATAAAACCTCCTTGACCTGGTTCTTGGCCTTGACATTGGCAATAGTGTCCGAACTCTCAACCTCAATGATAATAGTATTACTAGTAAGGATCTTCACAAAGATCTGCATACCACCACGGAGATGAAGGACGAGATGAAGGGTTGATTCCCTCTGGATGTTGTAGTTGGCGAGGGTTCGCCCGTCCTCGAGCTGTTTATCGGCGAAAATGAGATGTTGCTGGTCTGAAAGAATTCCTTTTCCTGGATGTTGACCTTAACTTTGTAAATGGTGTCGGAGTTGTCAACTTTGAGAGTGATGGTTTTTCCAAGAAAGGTGAATATCTCGCATCTAAAAGTTAAGAAACACAATTAGATCAGAATAATAAATAATGATATAACTAAATAATTTATGATTAAATAAATTAAATATCAAAAATCAAATTTGAAGAATTTCACTAAAAAAGACCCAAGTCTGGATTAGGGAATATGAACTATTTCTTTAAAAAAAAAACTACACGAGAAAAAATAAGTAGCATATCTATCTAAAAAAATTTAAATATAAAATTGTAATTAGATCATTGACGGATAAAAAAATTATAAGTATAAAACAAGGATTAGACCTAATCTACAATAAAAGAAAAATTGTATAATTATGAAAATGAATTTAAGAAAGATGAAATTGGGCAAATCCTATCTAAAATAGATCAAACTCGTAGGAAAAAAAAGGAACAATTCACAAATCGAATAAGAAAAATACAAAAGGATAATTAATAGATAAACTCGTAGAGAAAAAGGATAATTCACGTAATGAATGAAAAAGAAAAATACAAACGATAATTCACAACGAATAAAGAAAAAAATATAAAGGGATAATTCACACACAAAGAACAATACAATAAAATGGATGAACCTTAAAGGGAGAGGTAGGAAACTGTGCGAGATAAAATGACCTAATTTGTTTGAAATTAAACTGTGAAGAATGTGAAGGGGTTTGGGCCATTTTATAGCCTAAGGGTGGAACCTTCTCCAATCATGTTGTGACGCATGTCCATATGTGGTTATTTGATGTTTATGACGCGGGTGATATGTGATATGGACGTATTTATATTTTTTGAGATGAATTATTATTTTAATTATTATTTAAAAAAATAAATTAATTAAAACGAAGATTAAATATATATATATATATATATATATATATATATATATTTCAATAGAATTTTTTATAGAATGAATGACAAATATTTTTTTTAATGCTTAAAATAAATAATTATTTATATAAAAGAAATTATACGCCATTTCAAAATTTATTATTTTATAATTTAATAATGAAGATAAATTGTTATAATTATTAAATTAAAAAACATTGAGATGAGAAGTTTATATATATATATATATATATATATATATATATATATATATATATATAAAGTTTTCCATCATCATTAGTATTTTTATTAAATATTAAACTTATATCATATAAATGAGTAATTTCAAATATGTTTGCCAAATTCTATTTAAAAATTGTTAGAGTAAAGAGTGAGACATAGAGTTTTGGCTTCTAATCACAATAATTTAGCTGTCATAATTATCAAGAGTTTTTGTTAGGTGATATTTATGATTTTCATCATCAAACTGTAATTATTAAGTTTTTTTATTATAAAAAACTACTGTATTATTTATCAAATAAAAATATTCATACATTACCAATTATTTAATTTAACTAGTAATTGACTTTTTTTATACAGTACAAAATAATCCGAGTTAAACGTTTTTTATTAATATAAAATTTTAATGTTTTCAGGGAAGAAATATTGGTAATCATTACTAACCCTACTCTATAATGTTGTTTAGTGTTTCAAGTTTGATAGGGATGAATATCAAAATATTTCAAAAAATTTGTTCCTCATCACTTAATATATATATATATATATATATATATATATATATATATATATATATATATATATATTTAATTTATATAAAAATAGTTTCCCAAAAATTCACTGTTCTTGAAATTATAATTTTTAATTTATTTATATAAAGAAAAAATAATTAAAAACATAACTAAAAGAAAAAAGATTGAAGTACATATAAACATGAAAGTTTAAAAGAGGTTTTATATTGTTTTTACATTTTTATGTTTTTTCTTTAAAGTTATATTAAAATATTTATTTAATTTTTCACTTTTAAATTCATATTTTTTCTTTTATCTCTATCTTATTCAATAATTGCAATTACAATTTCATATGTTATTTTGGATTATAAATTTGTCATCACAAAGATTAATTTATCATAAAAAAATCTGAGACTTGTTATTTATTTTTTTAAAATTAAATAATTTATTTTAATTATTTAATTACAATAAAATAAATAATTTTTGTCTTAACTATAATTATTTTATATATATAATGACGGAATATTAATGCGATATGCTATTATTATTAAAAAAATTATATAATAAATAAAAAAATAATTTCAATTAAAAAATATATTAAAAGACTATCTTAGTTACGTAGGGTCAGTTTATCCTACTGTTTAGTTCATACAGATTGGAAGTCATGCGGTAAATTGAAATGTCCAATATTCTCACACTTTCACGACGCACTAACCCCGTAATTCAACCTCATATTGTTATCATTATAATTAAATATTTAATGAGTATTATCTAATTAATATTATAAATAATATATTTTTTAAAAATATTTAAATATTTTTTAATTTTATTTATTCAATTAGACATATTTATTATTGATATATAAAATAAAATTTAATAAGATAATAATTTCATCTTATATAATACAATTAATTTTCCTTTTTTCAATTTATTTTTTTTCTTTTTTTATTTATTCCAGTATATTTTGACTGTCTTTAATTAGTATTTTTTTTACTCTACTTTCACTTTATCTTGTCTTATTAATTAAAAATATTAAATTAAAATTTAGCAAAGTGAATATTTTATTATTTTTAAAAATATTTAAATGACCTATAAATTCTATAATTTAATATATAATATTTAAAAAATATTATATGATAAGTTTAAAATATTATATGATAAGTTTAAAATATTATAAGTATTATTATTATTATTAAGAAAAAAATAAATATTTATTTTAAAGTAATTTTTAATTAATATTTTGAAAAATTATCTAATATAACTAATTATCATCATTTAACTTAATTATAACTGCATTAAATTATTAAGTAAAAAATACATTTTAAATATTTGATATTTTTTAATTAAAATAGTAATTATTTTTTATGAAAATAATTTTAAATTAATCATTTACTTACTGTCATTATATATAAAATCATTTATTGTCATAATTTTAAATAATTAATTGATATTTATTTAATTTTAATGTTGATTTTAAAATATTTGTTTTAATATATTTTTATTAAATTTTAATATAATATTTTAATTAAAAAGAAAAAAAGGAGATGAGAGAAAAAAATAAGAAAAAGAGAAAAAAAAAAACAAGAGAGAACTCAGTCTTTTACAATATTAATTACTTTCCAACAATATCGCAAATTCCACCCAAAAAACGTTTCACCCATAATTATAATTTTAAAAAAATTTAAATTTTCCCTCTCACTTTAAATTTTTTGTTTTTATCTAGGATATGAATTATAGAAAAAATTATTTTAAAATAAGAGTACTCTTAAACTACCTAATTTTGATTTAAAAATATTATTGTTTTGATTGAAACAGTGCAGAGTTTGATTTTTTTACTTGATTATTTTAATTTAAAATTTATAAATGAAGTAAGAAAGATTAACACCTTCAAATAAGTTTACGTATATTAATTAAATTTTATTTTATTTTTAAATATTAAATATATAAAATAAAAAAAGGTGTTATAAATATTAAAAATATATAAATCAACAAAATCTGAAGAGTGATTAATAAAATTTATTTAATTTATTTAAAAATATTATTTTAAAAAGGGTTAGGTATTATTATTACATATATGTTACGATAAAATTATGTACGATAATATTATGTGTTTAATAACACTTGAAAAAGAAAGTGATAATTAAATTTACTTATTAATGTATTAATAATGATATACTAATTTAAATCATTAATATATATATATATATATATATATATATATATATATATATATATATATATATATATGATTATCATTTTTATTCAAAATTTAGATAAATCAACCAATACCTTCAAATTTAAACCTTTTCCCCCTTCCTTCCAGACAATAGATTTGTGTATGGTTCACTCCATTTTATCGTGGCTCACAATGTTCTATTTTTTTAATACTTTTGCTTTTCTATTTTTTTTCCAAAATCATTTTATTCCATGCATGTTATACCATATATAGGCAATAATTAGGCTACGCTATCTATATAATTTTTTCTAAAAATTTATATTTTTTATATTTTGTATGACAAATTATAATTGAGTGACAATATTTTCTAAAATATCATTAATATATAATAAGTAATTATTTATGAAATATTAAACGTTTTAAAAAATATAATTTTAAACTTTCATTATTTTATATATAAATTTTTAATTAACATGTTACTTTTAAATATTATAAAAAGATAAATATCAATTTGTTAAAAGAAATGAATATATTTTGAAAAAATATAATTGTTATTATATTAAAAATATATGATAGGGTTTGAGCCGAAAAGATTAATGCAATCCAAAATACATAAAGTTTTAATCGACTAAATTAAAATAATTTTATTATAAAATTAAATTGGTTAATTTTCATTTTTTTTAATTCAATTTTCTTGAAAATTATTCTAAATCTTGTATCTTGACTGAGAGTATGTGTATAAAAATTTAATATCATGACTAAGTTAATCAATTTTTTTAATTCTATTGAATTAATTAGTTGATTTTATAAGAGGAAAATTGTGTTATTCTTACATTTTATCAACTTTTAATTTTATTTTTTTCGATCCTCAAATATATTTTTTATTTTAAATTAAATATGATAAAAAGTAAGTTTATCTTAAAATAAGAGATATAATAAAAAAATCTCATTAAACTAAAGAATGTGATGTAGAAGTTGTTACAAAGATATTATAAAAAATCTTTTTAAAAACAAAAAATATAATAAAACCATATAAAAAAATTATAACATTTAAATAACTACAATCTCTACTTTATTAGAGTAGTTATTCTTTTAATTTATAATATTATTATCAAACTTTATTTCGCGCATGTTATATGAGAAAAGTGAGAATAGAAACCATGTGAGGCTAAAATCTCTACATAGTTATTACAATGTGGTAAAGTAAAATGTGAGGCTAAAATCTCTACTTCTTCTTTTTTAAATAACTTAGTAAGCCACACACGAGAACATAATATATAATTAGTGAGAATTTCCATTTTTTAGAATAATTAGTAAATATAAGAGTTACTTCTTATGTTTTTTTCATTATTTATTTTTAATATAATAACTTAGTATAATAACTCATCATTATAAAAAAATCCTACATATTTGAATATTTATTATAATATATATATATATATATATATATATTATTGTTCAATAATACATTTTAATAATGTATTTATATAATTTAAGAAAAACAGAAAGAACTTTAATAACATTAGCTCTTAATAAATTTTTTTTTTGAGAATATTATTTCTGGGATATAAAAAATTATGAGTGTCAATCCATTCAAAATAAGAGAACTATAGTCAACGGTAAACTTGTTCGTCAGCAGAGACCGGAGATAGAAATTAAAAACTTTAATTAATGGAAATTCGAATATAAAGAAGATTAAGACATTTATTCATTTTTAACTTTAAACAAATTATTCTTAATAAATATGTATTGATTAAAAGAAGATTAGTCAATTTTTAAGTATCATTTAGCCATCAACAAAATTATTCTTTAGTGACTCCAATATTTCACTCTTCTTCAGTGTCCCTGACTTGCTTAGACAAAGAGAAGTATATGCACGAAGAATTGTTGGCTCCTTCTGTTCCATTAATGATAAAAACTGTTTCATACCAAAAGACCTGGAAAATAAGTGACTTCTGGCAAGGCTCATAAATTCTTTAGCATATCTTCGTGGCAGCTTTCGTTTCCTCATTTCAACTTCTAGATCTTCCAGAGTTACTTGGCCATCACCGTCTCTATCCAACTCCTCAAAGAACCTCCTCCCTGTATGATAATGAAAGTGAAAAGTCAAAATTTTCATTCCAGCAAATACCACAAAGAAATCAGCATACATGATAGATAAATACAGTACCCAGTCTCTATATAGTTTATTAAGCGGTGTTGTAGCTACCTATCTTCTCTATCTGTTAACCAACTGCCAAAAGTTGTCAATCATATATGTAGTGCTGAGTCAACACCTAGTTCTATCTGTATGCACCGTTTTTTATTTGGGAAAATAACTCTCTACCAATATAATTAATCAAATATAAATTAATAACAAAATAGATTTCAAGTTCTCTTTTTCTATGCCTGTGATCTTTTCTAACAACGCCCAACAAATATATATATATTTTAAATATAATTTATTTTTAAATTAATAAATATATATATATATATATAATGATAATAATTAATTTGAAATTCATATATGTAATTTTAATTTATGTTATATATATATATATATATAATTTATTTAACATCAAAAATAGTTATTTTTCTTATTAATTTTATAATTATAATTTTTTTAAAAGTTATAATTCTAAATATAATTTTTTTAACTCTATAATTATAATTTATATAATATATAATTTATAAATAATTTTTTTAATTTTAACTTGATATATATTTTTATTTGTAATTATTTAATGTATATTTCAAAAATTAATAGATTATAATCGATTATTTGAAAAACTAATAGATTATACTCAATTTTTTGAAAAAGTAATCGATTATTTGAAAAATTAATCAATCATAATTGAGTAATTGGAAATTAATTAATTAATTTTTTGAATGATTTTTCAAATTTATATTAAGTAATATATATAAATATATATCATATTATAATATTTTATATAAAATGTATAGTTTTAAAAATATTTATGTATTTATTAGGTTAATAATATATGTAGATTTACGGTTGAAAGTAGTAAAATATAATTTTTATTTGTATGATTAATTTTTTTTTAATTTTTTAATTTATTTGATATTGTAATATTTTTTTAGAAATTAATGATAAATTAGGAGAAAAATGTATATAAAAAAATAATATTTTATGTAAAATTAAAATAATATTTTATGTAAAATGTAAGATTCAACGGTCGCTCAAGCAATTATATAGTCGCTTGAGCGAGACTGAACCCGAGAGTCTCATTGTGTTGAGGTTCCGTCGCTCAAACGATGGATTCCTAGCTTGAGCGAGAACTGACCCACTAATGAAACGTCCAACGCAGTTAGCCGTATAACTCGGTTCACCGCATATAAGAATCACTTGTCGCTGAAGCGGTCATAGCGTCGCTTGAGCGAGACCGAACCCGAGAATCCCCAATTTTTCCAGGTGTCCTCGCTTTTTCGCTTGAGTGACCTTAGATAGCGGTTCATAAGAACCACTTTTAAAAATATATATTAGATAACTGTTAGGCTTTAACCGCTATCTAACGTACGTTTATAATATCGGGTTTTTCATAACCGCTCTCTTATATAATACTTTTAAAGAGCGGTTCACTCGTGAAACGCTATAATAAATGTAGTTTAGATAGCGGTTATCCAAATAACCACTATCTAAAGTCATACATGTCAAAGTGATCGACTATAACGGGATAATAATCGATCATAATTTTCGATAACCGACTATAATTGAGAATCATCGATCATAGTTGGAGAACATCGATCATAGTTTGTGCTAAGCGATTATAGTTTTACATAATTTCGCTCTGCATCTCTCTCGCCGGCGCACGCAAAAGAAACGTTCGTTCTCTCCCGACTCTGGTTCGTCTATGTTTAATATTGGGTTCTGTTCATTTGGTTTAGGGTTTAATATGGTTGTTGATTTCGGTTTTGAATTTTAATTTGATGGTTCATCTTGTTTGATTTCGTTTGCATTGTAAAGAAGAAGCATACAAGCAACCATGGAGGTTAATGTATATATATAATGATAATAATTAATTTGAAATTCATATATGTAATTTTAATTTATGTTATATATATATATATATATATATATAATTTATTTAACATCAAAAATAGTTATTTTTCTTATTAATTTTATAATTATAATTTTTTTAAAAGTTATAATTCTAAATATAATTTTTTTAACTCTATAATTATAATTTATATAATATATATATAATTTATAAATAATTTTTTTAATTTTAACTTGATATATATTTTTATTTGTAATTATTTAATGTATATTTCAAAAATTAATAGATTATAATCGATTATTTGAAAAACTAATAGATTATACTCAATTTTTTGAAAAAGTAATCGATTATTTGAAAAATTAATCAATCATAATTGAGTAATTGGAAATTAATTAATTACTTTTTTAAATGATTTTTCAAATTTATATTAAGTAATATATATAAATATATATAATATTATAATATTTTATATAAAATGTATAGTTTTAAAAATATTTATGTATTTATTAGGTTAATAATATATGTAGATTTACGGTTGAAAGTAGTAAAATATAATTTTTATTTGTATGATTAAATTTTTTTAATTTTTTAATTTATTTGATATTGTAGTATGTTTTTAGAAATTAATGATAAATTAGGAGAAAAATGTATATAAAAAAATAATATTTTATGTAAAATTAAAATAATATTTTATGTAAAATGTAAGATTCAACGGTCGCTCAAGCGATTACATAGTCGCTTGAGCGAGACCGAACCCGAGAGTCTCCATTATGTTGAGGTTCCGTCGCTCAAGCGATGAATTCCTAGCTTGAGCGAGAACTGACCCACTAACGAAATGTCCAACGCAGTTAGCCGTATAACTCGGTTCACCGCATATAAGAATCACTTGTCGCTAAAGCGATCACAACGTTGCTTGAGCGAGACCGAACCCGAGAATCCCCAATTTTTCCAGGTGTCCTCGCTTTTTCGCTTAAGTGACCTTAGATAGCGGTTCATAAGAACTGCTTTTAAAAATATATATTAGATAGCTGTTAGGCTTTAACCGCTGTCTAACATATGTTTATAATATCGGGTTTTTCATAACTGCTCTCTTATATAATACTTTTAAAGAGCGGTTCACTCGTGAAACGCTATAATAAATGTAGTTTAGATAGCGGTTATCCAAATAACCGCTATCTAAAGTCATACATGTCAAAGTGATCGACTATAACTGGATAATAATCGATCATAATTTTCGATAACCGATTATAATTGAGAATGATCGATCATAGTTGGAGAACATCGATCATAGTTTGTGCTAAGCGATTATAGTTTTACATAATTTTGCTCTGCATCTCTCTCGCCGGCGCACACAAAAGAAATGTTCGTTCTCTCCCGGCTCTGGTTCGTCTATGTTTAATATTGGGTTCTGTTCATTTGGTTTAGGGTTTAATATGGTTATTGATTTCGGTTTTGAATTTTAATTTGATGGTGTTAGTAGGAAATCGATAAAGGGATCGAAAAACGAAGGAAAGAAAAAATCGAGGATCATATGATTGGTTAAAAAACTGATAAAGTGAAAAGATTGTTGGAAAACATTCGATGACCATGTAACAGTATGGACACATAAATCGAGAATTAGAATCGAGAATCGAAGGAGGAATATTTAATGTCTATTGTTGAAGAAAATCGAGGAATTAGAATCATGTAATGTTAAGGTTAAGGGGAATAAAAAAAGCAATGCAAAGTTCTCGAGATTTTGAAATCGAAATCGAGGGAAAAGTTAACATGCACTGCCATCGAAATTCTGGCTAAGTTAGAAAGAGAGGAACAGTTAATGCGCACATAGAACATGGGAAGCGGTTTCTAAACCGTGGCAGAGATCGAAGGTCAAGGGAGCGGTTATCTCATGCATGGGAACGTGAAATACAATTTTCTAAACTGTGGAACTGAGGGACGTGCATGATGGATCGTGGTGGCAGTTTTGTTAACTACTCTTAGGAGGTTACTTGAAAGGCGCTCTATAAATAGAGCAAAGAATGAAGGAAAAGGGGGAAATTGGCAGAGAGAACTGAAACACTAGTGAAAAAAGTCTACCGGAGAACAACGAAATCATGAAGTTTCTGGCGATCTGGATTTCCATTTTCATTGATTGTCTTTACCGCTTTCTGTACTTTCCCTGGTAATTTATGTTCATGCAATTTATTTTGATGCAGTTTACGTTTAGCAACTTTAAGTTTCTGCCCTTTCAATTCCTGGTCACTTACTTCTATGCAAGTTAAGGTTATGCGTTTAAGATCCTTGTCATTCACATTTCTGCAATTTCGATTTCCCATTCTTTACTTTCCTGCAATTTCAATTCTTTGCCCTTTTACACTTAATGAAATTTTGAGGTTTCCGCACTTTACATTTTTCTGCAATTTAATATTCTGCATTATCTTTCGATTCGATATTTTTTACTGTTTTCTTTACTTCGCGTCTCTTAATAAAAAATACCAAAAAATAGTACTTTCGATTTGCATACTAATTTGTGTTGTTTACATTCTCATGCATTTTTCGATTGAAAACCGTTTGCTAGCCTAAATAAAAAGAATCTACGTGGTTAAAATTTGGTTAAGAACTTAAATCTCAATTTAATCGAAATCGATCAAATTTTCACCAGAAACAGATGGTTCATCTTGTTTGATTTCGTTTGCATTGTAAAGAAGAAGCATACAAGCAACCATGGAGGTTAATGTATATATAAAATGATAATAATTAATTTGAAATTCATATATGTAATTTTAATTTATGTTATATATATATATATATATATATATATATATATAATTTATTTAACATCAAAAATAGTTATTTTTCTTATTAATTTTATAATTATAATTTTTTCAAAAGTTATAATTCTAAATATAAATTTTTTAACTCTATAATTATAATTTATATAATATATATAATTTATAAATAATTTTTTGTAATTTTAACTTGATATATATTTTTATTTGTAATTATTTAATGTATATTTCAAAAATTAATAGATTATAATCGATTATTTGAAAAACTAATAGATTAAACTCAATTTTTTGAAAAAGTAATCGATTATTTGAAAAATTGATCAATCATAATTGAGTAATTGGAAATTAATTAATTAATTTTTTAAATGATTTTTCAAATTTATATTAAGTAATATATATAAATATATATAATATTATAATATTTTATATAAAATGTATAGTTTTAAAAATATTTATGTATTTATTAGGTTAATAATATATGTAGACTTACGGTTGAAAGTAGTAAAATATAATTTTTATTTGTATGATTAAATTTTTTTAATTTTTAAATTTATTTGATATTGTAATATTTTTTTAGAAATTAATGATTAATTAGGAGAAAAATGTATATAAAAAAATAATATTTTATGTAAAATTAAAATAATATTTTATGTAAAATGTAAGATTCAACGGTCACTCAAGCGATTACATAGTCGCTTGAGCGAGACTGAACCCGAGAGTCCCCATTGTCTTGAGGTTCCGTCGCTCAAGCGATGGATTCCTAGCTTGAGCGAGAACTGACCCACTAACGAAACGTCCAACGCAGTTAGCCGTATAACTCGGTTCACCGCATATAAGAATCACTTGTCGCTGAAGCGATCATAACGTCGCTTGAGCGAGACAGAACCCGAGAATCCCCAATTTTTCCAGGTGTCCTCGCTTTTTCGCTTGAGTGACCTTAGATAACGGTTCATAAGAACCGCTTTTAAAAATATATATTAGATAGCTGTTAGGCTTTAACCGCTGTCTAACGTATGTTTATAATATTGGTTTTTTCATAACCGCTCTCTTATATAATACTTTTAAAGAGCGGTTGACTCATGGAACGCTATAATAAATGTAGTTAAGATAGCGGTTATCCAAATAACCGCTATCTAAAGTCATACATGTCAAAGTAATCAACTATAACTAGATAATAATCGATCATAATTTTTGATAACCGATTATAACTGAGAATGATCGATTATAGTTGGGAAACATCGATCATAGTTTGTGTTGAGCGATTATAGTTTTACATAATTTTGCTCTGCATCTCTCTCGCCGGCGCACGCAAAAGAAACGTTCGATTCTCCCGGCTCTGGTTCGTCTATGTTTAATATTGGGTTCTGTTCATTTGGTTTAGGGTTTAATATGGTTGTTGATTTCGGTTTTGAATTTTAATTTGATGGTTCATCTTGTTTGATTTCGTTTGCATTGTAAAGAAGAAGCATACAGCAACCATGGAGGTTAATGTATATATATAATGATAATAATTAATTTGAAATTCATATATGTAATTTTAATTTATGTTATATATATATATATATAATTTATTTAACATCAAAAATAGTTATTTTTCTTATTAATTTTATAATTATAATTTTTTAAAAGTTATAATTCTAAATATAATTTTTTTAACTCTATAATTATAATTTATATAATATATATAATTTATAAATAATTTTTTTAATTTTAACTTGATATATATTTTTATTTGTAATTATTTAATGTATATTTCAAAAATTAATAGATTATAATCGATTATTTGAAAAACTAATAGATTATACTCAATTTTTTGAAAAAGTAATCGATTATTTGAAAAAGTAATCAATCATAATTGAGTAATTGGAAATTAATTAATTAATTTTAAATAATTTTTCAAATTTATATTAAGTAATATATATAATATTATAATATTTTATATAAAATGTATAGTTTTAAAAATATTTATGTATTTTTTAGGTTAATAATATATGTAGATTTAGGGTTGAAAGTAGTAAAATATAATTTTTATTTGTATGATTAAATTTTTTTTAATTTTTTAATATATTTGATATTGTAATATTTTTTTTAGAAATTAATGATAAATTAGGAGAAAAATGTATATAAAAAAATAATATTTTATGTAAAATTAAAATAAATTATATTTTAGAATATATATATATATATATATATATATATATATATATATATATTAGTTAGTTAGTTTTTCTTTTTTATAAAAATAAAAAATAAAATCTATTCAGAATTGTATTGAGAATAAATCAAATTCTAAATCGATTAATTTTTAATTATTTCATTATGATCGATTAAATTTTTAAATAATCGATTATATTTTCAAATAATCGATTAATTTTTTAAATAATTGATTAGAATTCATTAGTTTTTTAAATAATAGATTATAATTGATTAATTTCTCAAATATATATTAAAAAATTATAAATTAAAATATATATTAAATTAAAATTAAAAAAAAATTATTTATAAATTATATATTATAAAAATTATAATTATAAAATTAAAAAAATCATATTTAAAATTATAACTTTAAAAAAAATTATAATTATAAAATTAATAAAAATATAACTATTTTTAATGTTAAATAAATTATATATATTATATAAATTATAATTATATATATATATATATATATTACTTAAATTAAAAACTTTAAATTTATATATATATATATATATATATATATATATATTGTGCATAAATTAGAATAATAATTATCAACTTGAATAATATATTTATATATATATATATATATATATATATATATATATATATTATTTATATATATTATAGAAATGAAAATAATTTATATTTTGGAATATATATTTTATATTGTAGAAATTAAAATAAATTATACTTTAAAAAAAATATATATATATATATATATATATGAAAATAAGTTATATTTTAGAATATATTTTTTATATTATAGAAATTAATATAAATTATATTTTAGAATATATATATATATATATATATATATATATATAATTTTACATCAAAATATTATTTCTTCTTATATACATATAATTTTTAAAATTTTTATTATCCTCCTAATTTATTATTAATTTCTAAAAAAAATATAATATCAAATAAATAAAAAATTAAAAAAAATTAATCATAGAAACAAATTTAAATATATTATTTTATAATATATTTTAAAAGTATTATTTTACTACCTTCAACAATAAATCTAAATATATTATTAATTTTAGAAATATACAAATTTTTTAAATATATAATTTAAAAATATAAATATTAAATAAAATATTATAATATTATATATATATATATATATATATATATTATTTAGTTTTTCTTTCTTAACAGAATAAACAATAATATTAATTTTAGAAATATACAAATCTTTTTAAATATATAATTTAAAACTATAAATTTTAAATAAAATATTATAATATATATATATATATATATATATATATTAGTTATTTTTTTTTAACAAAATAAAAAATAAAAAAAAAACTATTAAGAATTTGTTTGCCAAAAAATCGAATTCTATATAAATAAATAAAACCTACAATATATTATTTAAATAATTAAAAAACGAATGTGTTTCATTTAAGAAAAAAATTTCAACCACACTCTCTTCGAACATCATTGTTTTTATCATTGTTTCTACAACAATGTTTTTGATGGAGACATTTTTGTCCCGTCAACAACTTTAATGAAAATTCGTTTCCATAATGTAACAAATAATAATAACGTGTGACAAATAATGTGATATTTACTTAGATTCACCTATTTGATCTTACATTAGTCAAGAGTATTTATCCTAATTTGGGAACACTAATCGATTTTACAGCATGTAATATTAAGTGGTGAATATGATACTTGAATGTTCAATAATAAATAAGGTTTAATAATACTATAGGAACAAAAAAATGAGAAGCTTAGCTACAACACGGATTGATGCAACAAAGTGAAACTGAGGTTGAGAAGTTCATAAGAAGTAGGACGGGGGTTAGTTTTGTCTTTTCGTATATATAAAATGAGGGAATGAACTTGGTAATCAGAGAGGGTGAGAGTAAGAGGACCCAAAAGTTTATTTGGACGACATAATGGGCTGGCCCATACGAGGAAGGAGGTAATGAACGATAGGAGTAGGGTGTGAAAAGAAGGGAGAGAGCAGCGAAGAAATAACAGGAGTCGCGTTTGAGAGGAGACCATTGCAGGGAAAAAATGGGCGGACCGGTGAAGAAAGTTACCGATGTGGCGTTCAAGGTGGGAAGGAACATCGATTGGGATGGAATGATGAAGCTTCTCGTCTCCGATGAGGCTCGCAGGGAGATCTCAAATCTCCGTCGCGCTTTCGACGAGGTTAACTCCCAGATCCAAACCAAGTTCAGCCAGGTCGCCCCTCTCTCTTTACATTATGCACTGGATTTAGGATGCTAATTTCTACCTGTTTTAATTCTTAGATGTTAGATCGATTGGATATTAGGGCTCGTAACTAATTTGCTGCTGTTTCTGTTTTATTCTACTATCGTTTTACAATCTAAACGTTTTTTAAACCTAATAAGCTAATCCAAACACACATTTACTGTCTCTGTAGAAATTATTTTCGTATTATTTTATAAACCATAACATTCCTGTTATGTGAATGTTGGTCAAGCTCCTCTGGTCATGTTTTGAACGAGAGTGTTTAGCGATTAGAAGTGATCCTGTGATAAATTAGTTAGATGCTTATTGTAGTTGATTTTTTTGTTTTGTTAAGGTATTATGTTCAAGCCTTGCTATGTTTCTTTTCCAATTCCAATTCTGCAGGAACCTGAGCCCATCGACTGGGATTATTACAGGAAAGGCATTGGCACTCGGCTGGTGGATTTGTACAAGGAGCATTACGAGAGTATGTTTGTGAACCCTATGAAACCCACTCGTCTGGTGGATTAATATGTATATATTTAAATTTCTTAATGATACCAGCACCATGTTTGATTAATTCTTGGTGGCGATGATAACATCATTTAATTAAGGTTTTCTAAATTTAGTTATTCTCATGCACGTACACTCCTCCATAAGCCAAGACTTTCGAATCTGCTCAACCCCTATGAAACATATTTTTCTCCTCCACTACATAAGATCGTAGATCAATTTTCTAATTCTAGTTGCTACACTTTAAAATACACATAAGCGAGGAGAGGATTCTTTATATCATTAGCTAGTGTGCAATGAATCATGCGTTTGAATTCCTATTGGGCAGAAGATTTTATTTATTTAAAATATTACTGAATTCCAGTATGTGTGTCTCTCTCTATGTAGAGGGAGTCTATCAGGTGAGAGAGTTTGACAGATAAATGTGTAATCATGACTATTCAACTTATATTGGATGGTCTAAATTTATTTGATATTCCCCATATATATGAGTGTGCGTGTGCGCACAATGAATATATCCTGTTATAAGTTTTCTTGCTTACCTACCATTAATTCAACGTTTAATGTTTTTTGTGATGCCCTGTTTTCAGGCATTGAGATCCCCAAATTTGTTGACACTGTAACTCCTCAGTATAAAACTAAATTTGATGCCCTGGTCAGAAGTTTGTTAAACATTAGTTCTTATTTTGTTTAAATCTCTTAGTAAAAAAACTCTTATCTTTACATTACATTTGAAATTAAATTATAATTCTCCTCTCTTTTTTTTTTTTTTTGAATTTTTTGGCTGCAGTTGATTGAGCTTAGAGAAGCACAGGAGAAATCTCTGAAGGAGTCTGAACGTTTGGAAAAAGAAATTATTGAAGTACAAGAGTTGAAGGTAACAGAAATCTACTCAGGGATCTTACAGTTTTATACTAATTAAAAAAAAAAGAAACTCACCATCAATTTTTTTTTCTCACAGAAAAAGCTTAGTACCATGACGGCGGATGAGTACTTCGAAAAGCATCCCGAATTGAAGAAGAAATTTGATGATGAGATCAGAAATGATAACTGGGGCTATTGATTTTTAAGAAAATGTTGTTTTTGCGTATGTCTTAATAAATTATCTCTACCCAAAATTTATGTTTAAGTTTGATCTTTTCATCAAAAAAGTTGCATGGGGTTATAATAGTTTGGTAATGGAATCTTACCAAATGACTCGCAGATTATTTTGTTCCTTGATATGTATATTTAATTTAAAACGATGCGATCAGTGATTGCTGGAAAAAGAGGAGAAAACATTGCTCCAAACATTTAAAGAAAAGATCTTAAAAGTTAAGTTTCTTTTTTACAAAAATAATTGTACTAATCTTTTTTTATCTGTTAAATGATACTTATACTTGTAAGGTATATAAAAAAACCTACATAACAACAGAGAATAATTCTTCAATAATTTATTTCTATGTAACTAGCTTCAATACCAATCTCTTATCCAAAAAACACAAAGGAAGAAAAACATGACGAAAAAAATACTTTACTAACAATACAAAGAAGACGCATAAAAAAAATTGTGCAATTTTGCTTTTATTACATCTAAATGTTTTTTTCTTCTTACAATCACGGGATGCAGAGTTGTTAAAAAAGTCTTGTTGTCTTTCATTTACAGAAGAGTGTCACTTTTTCTATATTGCAGGATGTGTGCCATTTATTAAACAAAAGAAAGGGGTTTGTATCGGTTCATTAAACATATAAGGTAGGTGAATGCTAGTTTAAAATTTAGAAAAAAGTGTTTTTTTATATAAAAAAAGAAAAACTTTTTCTATATCTTTCACCCACTGTGTCATTTAGTGATTTGAGTGTTCAAGTATTATTTTCTTTTAAAATAAAAATAACAGAAAAAAGGAGAATACCTTAATCAAGAAGTAAAATAGAAATATTTAGTTTTAATAGATTTCACACTATTAAATAGTTTTTACTATATCTAAAAAGAAAATATTTATCATTTTTAACTTTAAAGTGATTTTATATTAGGTTGGATGAAAATTTTGATTTTAAAAAAATTGAAATAATTCAAATATATTTTTTTTCATTTGAATTTCCTCATTTCTTAAAATATTTTGCTTGAATAGATCAATTGATTTTTTTTAAATCTCAGTTTGGATAGGATAATTTAATTTTTACTACATATAAAATCAAATATATATTTAAATTTAAGATTAATACTAAATTTTTTAAAATAAATATTAACTTATATTGATAGTTTAAAATATAAATATTAACAATAGGTGAAGGTAGAGGGAGAAAGAAAAGGAATGACGAGGTAAGAGAGGGATGAAGAGCAATAGGTGAAGGTAGAATTAACTTAAGGTGTTTGATAGAGGAAAAAGATGATAGAAATAATTTAAAAAATGGTGGAAGTTGTTATTTTTCATATGTTTCTGTCAATCTCTTAATCTCTATTTATTTTCCTTTATTTATCTTTAATCAAACATCTTTAATTTTTACTTTATTTTTTATCTCTTTCCCATCTACTAAGGTTATATTTGGATAAGCTTCTCTCCATACTAGATTTTTTTTTCCCTAAAAGTTCTTTCATGTTACTTTATAGAAATTGTAGAATTTTTATGTCTAGAAAACTCTCTCATTTTTTTATCCTAAAAAGACTAATGGAGAAATTCATCCAAACAGATACCAACTTATTTTAATTTAACCTAGTTTTCTCCTTTATCAAATAAAGCTTAAAAAAACTGATCAATCGTTTAGTTTTAGGAATTAATTTGCAAGGTTAAATTAGAACAAATTTGTACCGATATCTTGGCCCAATAGGAGCCCAACATACTTCAACATTTGGTGTAAATGAAGACTTGAGCCACAACACAATCTTCCACTTCACAAAGATATGCATTCTTTTTGAGTTTCATATTCTACCCGAGAGTACACAATTTACTAATGTTTATATAAATTTATATTCTAAAATTAGAAAATAACTAGTGTATCATATTTATAATTCGACAAGACAGCGTTTGATTTTTTTATTTTTTTTTTCAGAGACTAAATTAGGCTAATTGACTCTTTATCAAAAATACAAATTGGATATTTGCTAAATACAAATTTATATCATGCACTTGTTACCCCCGCAAGAATTTTATTCCAAAAACTAAACAACCAAATACAAGATTGTAAAATGCTCTAACCAAATCAATAAAGACTTGCGAATCAATCAGAAAATGTGGTGTCAAACTGAACCGAGAAAACAATAAAAATAAAATGAGGGCTGAAGCAAGATACAGAGGACTAAAATCTGTATAACAGATGAAATAAAACGAACCTTTTTAGTATGCAAATATATAATGAATATATTCTTTGATTCTGCTGCTACAAAATAGAAAATGAACAAAGGAAACAAAATGTGTGTTTGAGAGCAGTATCAATGACCTTATTCCATTGATTGCTGCAATAAACTCAAAAATTCCACCAAATGTTTGGTTGCTGTGACACAAAATCTTGGGCAACTCATGATGTTAATTTATATAAAAATTGACTCCTCACATAATTTCCATACCTATAAAGGAATGGGAAGAGTCCCGGGACAAAAAAGATTATCAAATTTTGGGAGGAACAGACAGACTTAGCACGCTCATACTTGGAGAGGACCTGTAAAAGAATGAAGAAATGGGCCGATACAAAGAGGCATCCGCGAGAGTTCTCTCAAGGCGACCTAGTCTTTGTGAAGCTATTGCCCCAACAATTCAAGACCTTTCAGAGCTTGCACAAGGGACTAGTACGAAGATATGAGGGACCATTCCCGGTGATCAAGAAGATAGGGAATGTTGCTTACCGGGTCAATCTCCCACCAACACTCAAAATCCATCCAGTCTTCCACGTGAGCATGTTAAAGCCTTACAAGAAGGATGTGGAAGACCCAAGCCGAGGGCAATCACGGAGAGCACCGTCCCTTACAACCAAGTCTTTCGACAAAGAAGTGGATGAGGTGCTCACATCAGACATTGTAAGGAGACGAGGGGTACCGCCAAAGAAACGGTACTTAATAAAGTGGAAGGGACTCCCAGCATCCGAAGTATCATGGGAATTCGAGGAGGACTTATGAAAATTCCGAGATATCCTCGAAGATTATGAGGCGACAGCGACGCCGCCACAATAGGCGACAGCGACAACGACGCACGCATGCGAGTCTTGCTCGCCTTTTTTTTCACACTAGGCCACCACCAAGCCTAGTTACTTATATAGAAGCCTTTAGAAATGTCTAGTTTTGACTGGAAGCTTCTAGAAGGCTCCAGAATAATGTAGATGTTTGTAGTAGGAACAAGAACATCCTAGAACCTTGTAGAGACTTGTAGAAAGGGCAATAATCATCTTGAGTTGTGCAGAAGGTTCTAGGACATATGTAGAAAGAGTAGGATTTGTGTGGAGGGGTCTAGAAATACCAAGACCCTTGAAGGATCTAGAGAATTCCTTAGAGGAGGTGGTGCCTATAAATAGAGGAGGCTCCCTCATTTGCAAATCATCCAAGCTTTGAGAGCTCACTTGTATTAGAGTTTGAGTAATAGAAGCATTTTCCCTTCAAGTTCTCTTTTCTCAATTTCTCTAGTCAAAGCACTTGCACACACCGAGTATGATCCCGAGCAAGGTGAGACTGACTTAGCTGGTTGCGAAGAGCACACGAGAAGCTAAGACCGCACACAACCAAGTTCGAGAAATAAGGGTGTGACACCAAGCTGGGTTAGGGAATCCGAACGATTTCTTAAAAAAAAAAAACTACACTGGACAAAAAATAGCATATCTATCTAAAAAATTTTAAATATAAAATTGTAATTAGACAATTTTAAGTATAAAACTAGGATTAGACATAATCTACCATAAAAGAAAACTTGTATAATTATGAAAATAAATTTAAGAAAGATGAAATTGGGCAAATCCTATCTAAAATATATCAAACTCGTGAGAAAGAAAAGAGATAATTCACAAAATCGAATAAGAAAAATACAAAGGGATAACTAATAGATAAACTTGTGGAGAAAAAGGATAATTCACAAATGAAAAAGAAAAATATAAAAGATAATTCACACAATGAATAAAGAAAAAAAATACAAAGGGATAATTCACGCACAAAGAAAAATACAATAAAATGGACGAACCTTAAACGGAGAGGTAGGAAAATGCGCAAATAAAATGACCTAATTTGTTTGAAATTAAATTGTGAAGAACATGAAGGGGTTTGGGCCATTTTATAGTAAAGGGTGGAACCTTCTCCAATCATGTTGTGACGTGTGTCCATATGTGGTTATTTGATGTTTATGACGCGGATGATGTGTGATGTGGACGGATTTATATTTTTTTAGATTAATTATTATTTTAAAAAATAAATTAATTAAAACGAAGATTAAATATTATATATATATATATATATATATATATATATATTTCAATAGAATTTTTTATAGAAATTGAATGACAAATAACCTTTTTAATGTTTAAAATAAATAATTATTTATATAAAAGAAATTATACGCCATTTCAAAATTTATTATTTTATAATTTAATAATGAAGATAAATTGTTATAATTATTAAATTAAAAAATATTGAGATGAGAAGTTTATATATATATATATATATATATATATATATATATATATATATATATATATATATAAAGTTTTCAATCATCTTTAAACTTATATCATATAAATGAGTAATTCATATATGTTTGCCAAATTCTGTTTAAAAACTGTTAGAGTAAAGAGTGGGACATAGAGTTTTGCCTTCTAATCACAATAATTTAGCTGTCATAATTATCAAGAGTTTGGTTAGGTGATATTTATGATTTTCATCATCAAAAATGTAATTATTAAGTATTTTTTATTATAAAAAACTACTGTATTATTTATCAAATAAAACTATCATATATCATCAGTTATTTAATTTGATTAGTAATTGACTTTTTATACAGTACAAAATAATCCGAATTAAACGTTTTTTATTAATATAAAATTTAAATGTTTTCAGAGAAGAAATATGGATAATTATATTGCTAATCCCACTCTACAATGATAATGTTGTCCAGT